TCTCTGTGTGTGTGTGTGTGTGTGTGTGTGTGTGTGTGTGTCCAATCCTGATATTTCTCTCCCCCTCTCTCGTCCTAGCTAAGTGCAAGAATTACCCTGTGACCTACAGGACTACTTATTACAACCTCATTTAACGTACAGGATTAGACGACAGCCTAATACATGAACATGTACCACATAACTCAAAGTGTGTGTGTGTGTGTGTGTGTGTGTGTGTGTGTGTGTGTGTGTGTGTGTGTGTGTGTGTGTGTCAGGATCTGGACAATAAAGATGTATCTTATCTTATTATCATAGCTAACTAATTCATCAACCCAAACGGGCCCCTATCAACACAATTGGGGTTTTTAAGAGGCTGGACCTCTGAACTAAACGTCCATCCCCGAAAGGACCGAGTCAAGTGGGAAATTCGTGTGAAGTGGCTTTCTTTCTTAAGGACACAACGTAGGACCGAACTGAGACTCGAACACCCGAAACCGCAATCTCTCGACTACGAGTCCGGTAGCATAACCACTAGACCGCCGACGCGACTGCAAAAAGGGGAAGATACATGGCGAAATAAATTTCCCCACTCAAGAATCGAACTCACGTCTTCTGTACACAAGAGTAAAAAACACTACTAATAGTTACACAGTCGAAATTTTTCAAGAGGACCACGCATTGTTGATTTTTTAAAAATCTGGGCGTCATGGACAGTGTCTTTATGGTATAGAAAAAATGTAAGGGGGAAGAGGAAAGTGGTCGTTTGTACATTCCGGGTTACTCCACGTGATACAAGTTGTTAACAAACTGGGCAACACCTTTCTTTCCAATTGGGAATAAAAAGAATAAACGTGAGGCAGCGTGGTGGCATGGAATCAGGCTCTCGTCAAAATAATCAAAGTGAAGAAATTTGCATTTTTCCTCAGGTTTGTGAATTTTTATCAAATTTTTGTTTTTTGGCTCAACACCTTTCATGCCCATTGAAGAACTCATTTCTGTGTGGATTTTTCTGAAAAGGGTTGATTAAAGGCACAAAAATGTAAATTTTCAGATACCACGGACTCTTAAGCTAAGGGAATAACTAATCTTTGGTGGCCATTTTCTGACTAACTTTACCTCCGGAAACATGTGACCCCCACCTCCTTCTTTCGCGAATATCTCGACTTGTATTCAAGATAAATGGATTTTTAAATTCCAAATAAAGACAAGCGAATACGCTTTACGATGATACCAATGACTCTACTTGCCCAAAAATTGACGAGAGCCTGATTCCACCACGCTGCCTCTCAAACGTTTTTACCGTGCGTCTTATTTTTCTATTTCTTCTTCTTCAATTACTTCCATTTAACCAAAATTGACCTGTCCTGTCACATTTGCTAAAACCCAGAAGAAAAAAGAAAACAAGAAAGGTACAAGGGAGAATAAGGGACGGCACTTTCCGGCATTTTGCGAAAAATAAATATCAAATTCGACAACCCACGTTTTTCCACAACATAGCTTGTTTTTCAAGCCCGATACTGGGTGATTCACTGTGTTTTGACACTGGACTCTTCTTGACCGCAGTTGGCATTGACCATGAAAGCGAGTTGTGAAATGGCTCGTCAAAATAATGAAATCGAAGAAACAAACATTTTCCCTCTCTCTGAACGATTTCTATCTATATCTATTTTTCCTCAAAATCTTCTACGTCCATCTACAAACACATTTCTGTGTGTATTTTACTGAAAAATGTTAATCAAATGAACCCAAAAAAAGTAAAACTGCAGTCACCAAACGTTGGAAGACATTTTATTTTTTGTTTTGCTTTTTTTTTCTGACACCAGGCGACACCGACTGCTTTTAAATTTCTCGACTTCTAGTCAAGAATGACGG